GTACATGCAAACTGCAAATAAAAATCCACACTAACCACGCTGCGGTAATTAACTTGACAGGGCAGGAGAAGGAATTGCAGAGCCCAGCAAAACACACAGTTGGGAAGATGCCAGGAACACAGATAAGCCTTGACAGTAACAGATAACTCATGATTTGCTTCCAACAACTTTGCTGTACGCAACTCCCCTTTTTAAAACACTGTGTTCCCAGCTGCAGCTAATGAAGGGAATCAGAGCCTTTTCCTCCCGCGTAAGCCAGGCAACCCATGTTGCTCCCTTCTCTGTTCCTCCCTGCGTGCCCTAGGATGAAGAGGGGGTGGGCCTGGGTCTTCCTCTGAACTCCCTCTCCCTTGTTCTACCTCTTCCCTGCTCTGCCTAGCCAGACTTTGCCCTTCCCCAGTTTCTTCCATAGCCAACGGAGACACACTCCCACTCCCTGTCAGCTGCTCAGCCTCCCCTTCCGAATCAGATTCCAACAGGGGCACGACAATCGGTTTTCAGCAAAACTGTTGTAAAATGCAATCACGTTATTGGATGGGAGGGGCGACCATTGGAACTTCAAACCTGGGTTGTAAGTTCCTTTTTGGGGGGTATGTCATAACTTTGAACAGTTGCTGAGCAACAAGTCATAAATCGAGGACTATCCATACTGTGCTTCTTAACGCCAGAGTTGTGGTGCCATCAGTTTAATGAAAAGAAAAATCACAGCAGACAAAAATAGGCTAGTTGTCCATCTTCGGGGATTCATATATTTTATTCCCCATCCATTCCTGGTATTGTTTTAGTATTAAGATAATTGTAGGAGGAAGCATGGAGGTTGATTAGCCAACAGAAGGTTCTCCTCAATCGGCTACTGTATGAATTAACCAAGAATTAATTTGGTTGGAGGACAGAGAGGAAAAAAATTCTTTCTTTTCCTTTTCCTCTACAGTGAAACGGGGAATAACAACATCTGATGAAAATTTATGGTTGGAATGGATCTAGGAAAGTTGTATAGTTACTTTGACTCCCTTGCCTAGGATCTAAGCGGATGTCCACTATATTCAGGATGAATGAATCTTCCAAAGGTGCTAGAAATTAGAACCATTGCCTTTACATAGGATATAGCTCATGTGTAGAAATTGTGTGCCAACTGCAGGCTGTGATCAGTGAATCCATTGCTCTGAGGCTGTTGAGCAAGGAGTTGGTGGTTTATTGTCCCTAAAGTGGATAATCTCCAATACAGCTATGTCTGAAATGAGCAGGAATCTGTGTGTGTTGTGAATCAAATAGACTAGGGTAATAAAAAAATGTTTCAGTCAACAAATCTTGTTTTTGTGCCTACAGCAAGTGTTCTTCCACTCAGACATTCTCTGGAAATACACACATCGCCTTATTTTGTAGCTAAGGCCCTGGCTAGTAGATCACTTTTCCCTAACTGGGTTTGCATATTGCACTGAATCCCAGCTTCTTCAATTATGGTTTGTGGAATAAGCCAGAGCATGCCTATAAACATTTAAATAATGATTTACAAACCATAGTAGTAAGGTTCATATAGCAAGCCAAGTTATAACTTTTACTATGCCAACCCAGTCCTATCTTCATAATTATAAAGCTCTGATAAACTATTTAATATCCTTACTTCATCTTACATTTACTTTTAAATCCTACTTGGTGATGTGCTACTCACAGATGCAGCATAGACAAAAAGGCTCTTGTATAGCTTCCCATTGACAAAGTGGTTATTCAATTATATGAAATACAAGAAGATAATCGTTTTCCAAGGATGGGTATGACCTGCTAAGGAATCTACATACCAGGAGAATTGTAAAACATAAGTCTATGGAGATTCTCAATCATCCAGATCATGGTTGTCCCAAAGCTGCTTTTTCCAAAAGGCAACTGGACTTCCTTGTTTGTTTTTTTCCTTTGAAAACATTTCACTTCTCATCCAAGAAGCTTCTTCAGTTCTAACTGGTGGGGAACTGGAAGGATCAGAATGAGGGTTAATTGTTAGGTCTCTGAGAGTCAATGGGGCCACTTGGAGGTTAATCTGTATTCTCAGAGTCACCTGAATTAGTGTAAACAGATGTGGAACCTTTCTGGGACTGCTAAAAGAACTGCATTGTAAACAGGAGATAACTGGTGTCTATCCCTCCCCCTCTATTGAGGGAGGGTGCTTCAATTTTAACCTAAATGGTCTCTTTGACTCATCTTTCAAACCAGCCGTCCTCTCTGCCCAGAATGTCTGCCAATACTGTGATTGCCTGCTTCACTTCTTCACTGAATGCAGAAATGTTGATTGTGGAAGGGGAACACAACAATTGCAAGGTAGAAAATACGCAAATATTTATATGCCTTCACATTATTGTTGTTCTGATAGGATAAGGAAGGCATCCATTGCTTGGTCACCAGTGACCAATTAATTAATCTGTGGCCATCAAAATACAGCTGAATTACAATTGCTAGTATCTCAAAAAAAGGATGTGAATTGAAGCATACCCAATTGGCAGTTAATTGCTTTTGGATCGAGCAAATGGAAACCACTTTCCCAAGAGGCAAAAGTTTCCACTGCAAACCAGTCTTCTGGGAATTTCGGCCACTATTCTACTTTTTCTATGTGGGAATGACAGAAAACAATCTACCTTTTTATCTGTCATCCCACTCCATAGATCAAGTGTTTCCCAGCCTTGGCAACTTAGAATAGACCTCAACTCCTACCTAAAGTTATCAAGGTTGAGAAACATTGATCCATCTTCTCATTGGAGGAATCTACAAGGTGTCGAAAATGTTGAGATGATGTTGGCTACGATGCCTTTAAAAAAGGCAAGACTTCATTACAGCTTCCATCTTTATTTTTTGCAATTTTAATTGTCACCTTCTTCCCTGCCCCCGGCCAATGGATGCCCCTGCTTCTCGAGACAAGTAAGTTTCAAGACTTCAGTTTCTTGGAGTCCTTTTTAAAGTGGTGAGCGCAGAACAAGTTACCCTTCAGCTCCTCGGGGTAATCCATACAAGGAGCACCCAAACTATCTTCATTGTAAGTTGATATTTGACAGAATCCTGCAAGACTGAAAGTGTTTCTCCCCTTCTCTCTTTTTAATCTCTGGAATACTGGGGACAGTCTCTCCTGAAGTTAGCAGGAATAGCCAACATTCCAGAAGATAGTTTAAGATACAGAAAGATCTTGACAGACTTGAACATTGGGCCCTATCTAACAAAAGGTGAAATTCAAAGGTGAAAAAAGTAAGGTTCTACATTTAGGCAAGAAAAACCAAATGCACAGGTACGGTATATGTGATACCTTGCTCAATAGTAGTAACTGTGAAAGGGATCTTGGAGTCCAAATAGACAACCACTTAAATACAAGCCAGCACTGTACGGCAGCTTCCAAAAAAGCCAATATAGTTCTGGGCTGCATTAACCGAGGGATAGAATCAAGATCACGTGAACACCACTTTATAAAGCCTTTGGTAAGGCCATACTTGGAATACTGCATCCAGTTTTGGCCACCACGATGTAAAAAAGATGTGGAGACTCTAGAAAGAGTGCAGAGAAGAGTAACAAAGATGATTAGGGGACTGGAGGCTAAAACATATGAAGAACGGTTGCTGGAATTGGGTAGGTCTAGTTAGTACAATGAAAAGAAGAACTAGGGGTGATGTGATAGTAGTGTTCCAATATCTCAGGGGTTGCCACAAAGAAGAGGGAGTCAAGCTATTCTCCAAAGCACCCGAAGGCAGGACAAGAAGGAATGGATGGAAACTAATGGATGGAGAGAAGCAACCTAGAACTAAGGAGAAATTTCTGGACGGTTAGAACAATGAATCAGTGGAACAACTTGCCTCCAGAACATGTGAATGCTCCAACACTGGAGGTCTTTGAAGAAGAGATTGGACAGCCAATCCAATACGGGGCTTCCTGCATGAGTAGTGGGGTTGGATTGGAAGACCTCCAATGTCCTTTCCAATTCTGTTATTCCCATCTGAGAATTGAGCTGCCTTTCCTTAGACTCTTGGCTTGGGTCTTCTTCCTGCCTACCAAGGTCATTCCCACATACCATCACAGTATCAGACTTGAGCTGGGGCCTTGCTAACACAAAACTAATATTAATTCCCCCAGATGTGCCTACAATTGTGTTTTCTTTTCTTGTATCCATGTCGCCCTGCTGATTCTGATTCAACATGTAACTCCAACTCCAAGACTTTCTTTACAGACACCATTTTTTTTAATCCTCAAAGGATTAAAGACCTCTTCTGCTGTATACCAGTAGAGTAAGATTTAATGCCAGTGCAATAACAACAAGAGGTGCTTCTCCTGATATTTTGCCCCAAATTTTACTCTCTTGACTCTGGGTCTGCCTTGTGGAGCAACTGAAATTCTACCTCATCTTCTAAATGGCACATCTTTCCATTATTTGAAGATTTTTTTATTGGAGTTTTAGGTCATCTTCACTAATCTATCTATCTATCTATCTATCTATCTATCTATCTATCTATCTATCTATCAGTTGCTTGCAAGATAACAGGTATAAGTACAAACATAGTTAGGAATACATGAAATGGGAACATATAAGAAAAATAAAAGAAACAATAGGTCAGGGACAGTAGGCACGATTTATGCACACAACCTACAGACCTCTTAGGAAAGGGGTGAGGTCAATAGTAGACAGTCTAAGGTTAAAGTTTTTGGGGTTTGGGGAAGAAACTACAGAGTCAGGTAGAGTATTCCAGACATTGACCACTCTGCTGCTGAAGTCATATTTCCTGCAATCAAGTTTGGTGTAGTTAACCTTGAGTTTGTATCTATTCTTTGCTCTTGTATTGTTATGGTTGAAGCTGAAGTATTCATTGACAGGTGGGACATTGCAATGTATAATTTTATATGCTATACTATATCTGTCCCTTTCCCATCATTCCTCCCGGGTTAAAACATGGGCGTTTCCAAACAGCACACAATGTAGGGGACAAACCAGACGCGCGTGAATGGGATTTTTTTCCCCCCGGTATCGAGGAAGCCAGCAGAGGGCCCCGGCTTGCCGGATTTCCAGGCTTTTGGGGGCTGCGGTCTTCCCACTCACCTCTTCCCTTTCGCCGTATCCGGGGTTGAGCTTCCTGGGTCGGGAGGTGGCGGCTGAAACCCGAGGGATCGGGGCATCCCACCTCCCAAAAGAAAACAGCCGGAGCTGCTCCTCCCTCGGGGTTTAAAAGAGACGGCTGCAAATCGCGGAGCAGAAGCGACGGCGGCGCTCGCCAACAAACAGCTGGAAACTCCGGAACTTGGAAGGAGAAGTCCGGATCATCAGAAGGGGAGAGAAAAAAACAAAAACAAAAAACCAGGTTCTCTCCGGTGGGAGAAGAGAAAGAGCCGAAAGGAGCAGCCACAGGACGGAGGCAAAGCTGGAAGCCGCTGTTGGCTTCCTTGAGAGCGAGTCCCGTTGCATTCAGGGTTGGGAGTTGATTTGAAAGTAGACTATCCCGGAGAACTCCTTTTGCAAGACCCGACTGCTCATCTCTTCATCCTTGGTTCCTCCAGCGGCCAGCCAGGCCTCTACTGGAAATGCCAGAACGGCAGGTCAACAGAACAGCCCCCTTTTTTCCTGCTGGATGTCCTCTGCAACTGATTTCAGAGGTAGCTTGCCTTTGGATATGGAAGCTCTACACCGCCGTCTTGACAGGGAGCCATTGATAACCTCCCATCTTCCATTCTTCTTGCGGGTGTGAATTCTGTAAGTTGATTATAACTGTGGGAAGAAACACTTCCTTTCTTTGGCCTTCAAGCCAAAGGCCCTTCAATTCAATTCAATTCAGATCTTTACTGTCGGATTGTACAACATGTGTACACTTAGATTGGCTGAGCCTCCTTTGTGTACCTCTTAAGACGCAAAGATTGGCCTTTACAGTCTCTGGGATTTCTCTGATTCTTTTATATGGGCAGCTTTCTTAGGACCTACAACGAAGCTTCATTTACTGCTAGGAAGCATAATGCATTGCTATAGCTTACCCTTCTTCCTCCAGTTTACTCTGCCAATCAGCTTTTCCCTTAGTGGGTGGCTTTCAGAGGAGTTGAGCATGCAATGGGTTTGCACAGCAACCTGGCCAATCAAAAACCTATCATCCACGTTGGTACATGTTCAGCTTGGCTAATTTTAACCATGATCTGTTTGGGGGTAGATTAATAGATTGTGCAAATCCAGTCTGTTTGTGGGTGGTTGAATGTATTCTCTACACCAAAAAAAGGGGATAATCAAATAATATATATACCAAACTCAGTTCTAGGATTTATTTATTACATTTATATGCTGTCCACCTTGCAATTTGAGGCAATTCTCAGCTGCTTAATAAAAGTATAATAAAACAGCTATAAAAACAGGAATATAAAAACAGATTAAAATTACAAAAGATTAAAACAAACAAAAACAACAATTCATTTAGCGGTCATTCAAAGTTACAATGTCACTGCGGGGGGGGGGGGAAGCGACTTATGACCGTTTTTCACACTTTTGACCATTGCAGCATCCCCACAGTCATGTGATCAAAATTCAGGGGCTTGGCAGTTGGCATTAATTTACAATAGCTGCAGAGTCCTGAGTCCTGTGATTGCCGCTTGTGACCTTGCCAGCCAGCTTTCCACAAGCAAAGTCAAAGGGGGAAGCTGTGTTATTATGAATGGCCACAATTAACAACAAAAATCAGGTGTGACTCACTGAACAACCACCTGGCTTAGCAATGGAAATTCTGGTCTCAGTTGTGGTCATGTTGAGGACTGCTTGTAAAATGTAGTATTTGATTTGGTAAACAAAGGTTCAGCAAAATATGGCCTCATTCAGCATAGGGAGCTCCGTTATCCATTGCAATCTGCAAGAGTCAGGCTAGATTTACCGATTTTCTAATGGGGCCTCGTTTTTGCTCTTATTTCCTTATGGAAGAGAAAGTCAATTTGTATTCCGGCTCCCTGTTGTCCAGGAGCAAATTCCTGCCCCTTGTGACCTCTGTAGTCCAAATCCTGAAGTTCCTAGTCTTCAGCTGCATAACCCCATCATGGTTCACACAAGAGGCTTCTCTCTGTCCTGCCACTTGGCTCAGCATGCAGGATGTTGTCATTTCAGGGTTGGCGATATTCACAGAAGCGCCCGGTCACCAACGTCATGCAAGAAAACTATGAGAACGTGATCTCACTGGGTGAGTAGCTTCTCATCCACCAGGATGTTGCGGTGTCATCTCTCCTGACTCTGCTCCTAGTCTTAATCCATTGCTGCAGTTTCCATCCAAAAGTTGAATTTTGAAAATGGGCAGCCTCTTTCCTTATCTCAAGGAAACCATGATTAACATTTCTGGGTGTGTGTGTGGGGGGGACATGGATTGATTGAACAATGCAGCACAGTGAGACTTGGTTTATTGGTGGGGATAGCTTCCTTGATTTTTTTTTTATTAAATTGTGATCTGTTTATGGCAGCAATCCTGGCTGGAAGAGACTCTGAGGGCTGCCAAAGGGAAACCTGACATCCAGATACATTTGCTGGGCTGTCCCACGGGGGTGACACCAAATAGCAACAGCACTTAGACTTATATACCGCTTCACAGTGCTTTTACAGCCCTCTCTAAGTGGTTTACAGAGTCAGTCTATTGCTCCCAACAGTCTGGGTCCTCATTTTACCGACCTTGCAAGGATGGTCAATCTTGAGCCAGGGTGAATGGAATTGCTGGCAGTCAGCAGAATTAGCCTGCAATACTGCATTCTAACCACTGTGCCACCACGGCTCTAAAACACAAAAGGCTAGTTGGTGGTTACCTCTCAACTTATGTGACACTTCCTGTGGACACCCTTGCTTAAGGCTGAAGGTACCCGCCTAATATTATTTGCCTGCATTGCCACAATTCTGGAATATCTTAGGGTAAAGTTCTCCCTGCTAGCTAATTAGGAACTGCTGGGACTTGAACTCATGATTGCTTGCATGTAAAATCTTTGGACTCCCTTAAATCTGAAGTGGTGTATGTTTGTGGGAAACAATGCAGAATATGCTTAGGGCATTGGACGAGGTTCAGGGCAGGTTCAAAATTCCCACTCGATCATGGGGCTCACTGGCTATCCTTTAGCCAGTCCCTCTTTCTTTCCAACCAGTTTCACAGATTTATTATTGTAGGTATCAAATGAAGGGAATATCTCATATATTTTTTTTGAGTTCCTTGATATCAATGCAACGAGTAGTTGTGCCTTGATGTCTTCTGATCCGCAACCTCCATTTCTCCCATCTGCAGCGGAGGAAATTGCAATCAGTTGGCCTCGGATAACTGCCTTTGCTGAATCCCACAGAAGAAGAGGACTTGGGCCTGGTAAGTCTGCAGAAGGAAGAGACTCCCTGTGTCTGAATAGGTGCTCAAATTCCCTGAAACCTGGATTCCTTTCCGCCATAATCAGAGAGCCGGTTTGGTGTAGTGGTTGAGGCAGTGGTGGAATTCAAATTTTTTTACTACCGGTTTTGTGGGTGTGGCTTGGTGGGCATGACAGGGGAAGGAGACTGTAAAATCTCCAGTCAGAGGTGGTATTTGCTGGTTCTCCGAACTACTCAAAATTTTTGCTACTGGTTCTCCAGAATTGGTCAGAACCTGCTGAATACCACCTCTGGGTTAAGGCACTAAACTAGAAACCAGGAGACTCTGAGTTCTAATCCCACCTTAGGCATGAAAGCTATCTGGTGACTTTGGGCCCGTCACTCTCTCAGACCAACTTGCCTCACAGGGTTATTGTTGTGAGGAAAATAGAGGGAGGGAGGTATATTAGATAGTTTGCTGCCTTGAATTATTTACAAAAAAAATAAAGCAGGATATGAATTAGATAAATGCATTTATCCAGGACATGCTGGAAACAGCTGGAGCAGGCTGCATTTTACCCTGAGGTTACTATCCTGGGTTAAGGCCGTTTCTAGAGTTTATCCTTGAAAAAAGAACTTTTTTTCCCAGTCGTATTTTTTGTAATGCCATGAAGAGCTTTGACCTTAACACATCTGCCTACATTGCTATTAGGATACTGCAACTTATTGCACCAGTTTTTCTTGGTGATAATTTTCTGGTGTGGCTGCTTTTTTATCTTTTATTTTTAACTGTTGTCAGCCAGATGGACATTGTATCTAAAGTGGAAGGAAAGGCAGGGTGCCAACGCAAATAGTATGACCGCAACATCAGTGGATCGCAACAGCAGTTGTGTCAGCAGTTTTTCTGAACTCGAGGCCTTTCAGGCATACTGACTTACGACTTCCATAATTCTCACCCGGCACAACCCTTGGATGCTCTGGCGGGAATTATTGGAGTTGCTGTCTAATGCCTCAAGTGGAAGAGACCATGCTAATTCGATAGGCAAGTGGCTAACTCTCCCCCAGTGTCCTGTTGCTCTTGTATTTGGCTAACATTTGGAAATAAGGTTTGCCAACACTTTAGCTAGCCTTTGTAGCTATGTCTCTATAAAATTTATACCCAAAGCATTTTTCCCTTCCCTTTAATCATGTCCAATTCTTGCAGACTGTGGACAAGTCCCTGCAAGTTTTCTTGGCAAGGTGTGATGACCCGGGGCATGGCACAAAGGCAATACAGATAATCAATAAGAGTCCCTTTATTATCTTCAACTTTGTCCCCAATGTCCAGGTTACCTTCTGGCTGGAAAAAAACTCTCCCAGGAACAGCCTTTGACTGCAGAAAATTAAGTCCAAAACATGGTCAACACAAACTGTAACTTAAAGTCCAAACAAGCCAATCTGAAGTAATTAGTTTGGCAGGGCAGGAGGAAGAATATTAGACTTGAAGGTACAGCAAAACTCACACGGTTGGGAAGATGCCAGGAACACAGATACTCCACAAGATAAAGTCACATTTGCTCCCAACAGCCTGCTGCATGCAACCTGCCTTTCTTATCAACTGTCTTCCCAGCTGTGGCTAATGAAGGGAATCAGGGCCCTTTCCTCCCCAGCAAGCCATGCAACTCACATTGCTCTCTTCTCTGTTCCTCCCTGCGTGCCCTAGGATGAAGATGGGGTAGGCCTGGGTCTTCCTCTGAACTCCCTCTCCCTTGTTCTATCTCTCACCTGCCTTGCTCAGCCAGACTTTGCCCTTCCCCAGACGGAGCCACACTCCCATTCCCTGTCAGCTGTCCGGATTCCTCCTTGGATTCAGATTCTGACAGGGGCATGACACAAGGTTTTCCAGAAGTGGTTTGCCATTGCCTCCTTCCTATGGCTGAGAGAAAGTGACTGGCCCAAAGTCACCTCCTTAGCTTTGTGCTTTTTAGCTGGGACTAGAACTCACAGTCTCCCAGTGTCTAGCCTGACACCTTCAACACTACGCGAAACAGGCTCCCCATCCAAAGCATAAGTCCAGAATAATTTAATATTAACCGTGCTCTGAAAAGCTTTTCTGGCTGATTTGTACCCTAAGCAAGACATGAAGGCATTAGAGCAATTCAGCATTTTTTCTCCACCTGGATCGGTTGTCAAAGCCATGCAGGAACTCTCTGTTTGCGTTGTGTCTCTGTGGTGCAGTCATGGAGTCTGAACGGAGCCAAGCCCCGCAGGCCCAGTTGCAGAGCCAAGCAGCTGGCCCAAGTGAAAGTGGACTCAATGCCGACCTCCGTCGCCAGCTGGGCTTCATCCTGCAGACGGCTGGCAGGAGCCAAGTGGAGAAGATGCTGCGGGAACTGGTGAAAGAGCAGAGCCAGGAGGGGAAGCGGAAAGCAAGGAAGAAAGCGCCTAAGAATCACAGAGATGAAGGTGAGATGGTCTCCTTGCAGGAACTGTGGGAATGCTAGGAACGAAGGGGATGACACTGTGCAAAATAACAGGGAAAGCCTCTACAGAGGGAGTCAAGTTGAACAGATTGGGATGGCATAAGAATAGAATAGAAATAGAATAGAATAGAATAGAATAGAATAGAATAGAATAGAATAGAATA